GATCCATGGGTATCCATCCAACCATCCATTTTTGGAAACTTCTTGTCTGATTTAGGGTCACAGGGGTTCTAGAGCCTATCCTGGATGTTACAGGCATGATCCATGAACAGTGTTTTGTAATTTATTGAACCCTGAGCTTTGTTCTCTGGCACGACCTTAACAGAACATGTGCTGAAGTCAATATTGTGCTGCAGCTGTTGGAATTTGGTTTGTTTGCCCATTGATCTGCGTTTTGCATAGGACACCCAATTCTTTCTGTAAAGCCCTCTGCTGGCTTTTTGAAACTCTATGGCTTTTTTGGCTTAAGATTGTCAAGATTTGCAAAAGGTACGGAAAGAATAGTTCACGTTTGTGATGCTTGTTTCAGGTATCTGTCCTGTGAACCGTAACTCAATCGACCACCTTCTATCACACAACGGGACGGGTAATGCTGTCATAATCGTTGTTGGGGGCGCTGCTGAGTCCCTGGACTGTGCTCCTGGCATGAATTCTGTCACCCTGAAGAACCGCAAGGGCTTTGTGAAGCTGGCACTGCAGAAGGGGTAAGGGTTAGGCGGAAGTAGAAAATGCCTCTTGGAGTTGGTAGGGCCCATGTGTGTGATCTGCCAGATTCTGGCAGACACAAAAGGCAAGACATGAATTCAAGATTAAACATATGTCTAATATTAATCATTATATTTTTGTGTGGGACACTATACTAGAGATGAATGTCTTAGGCTAATCCTGCGCACTAGTGCTTTCCGTGTACCTCCCTACTGCTTATCAGGATTAGGGTCACGGGGCGAATTCTGTTTTATGCCAGAATACTACTTTCACCTTGAAAAAGAATGATCAGCCCATCAATCATGCACCGGTAGAGGTTTGGGGCAGAATCCTGCATGTACCGGGAGTAAGTGCTTCCTGTGGAACTGTTTGTCTCAGGGCCGACTTGGTGCCTGTGTATTCCTTCGGAGAGAACGAGGTGTACAAGCAGGTGATCTTCGAGGAGGGGTCCTTCTGGAGACTGGCCCAGAAGAAGCTCCAGAAGCTCTTTGGCTTTGCCCCATGCCTGTTCCACGGCTGTAGCATTTTCTCAGAAGAGTCCTGGGGCTTTGTGCCTTACGCCAAGCCCATCACCACTATCGGTGAGTTCGTTTTTTTCATTTTCAGGGTCATGGGTGGGTAAGACCTGGAGCCTTTCTCAGGTAGTGTAGGGTGTAAGACAGGAGTAGACTGTGGATGGGATGTCAGTCCAGCACAAGACACATGCACATGCTTTCATACACAATCATAGATTATGGGCAGTTTGGAAACATGTCTATCTGCATGCCTTTAGACTGGGGGGGGATCCCACACAATACAGGTAGAGGTAGGATTCGAACTCCCAACCTTGGAGGTTTGAGACAACAGTGCAACCCTTTTTTAAACAGCAGATGCTAAAACTAAACAAAATGTAAAATCCGCCTTAAGGCCTGTGACAATTGCTGTTAAGGCACTGGACAGCTGTTCAATGTTGGTCCACCTTGTGGTCAGTAACTAAATAGTGAATGAGGATAAAGGGCATATTAATGTTTAACATCTTTGCCTGTAGTGCCTAGCTCTTAACAATGAAGGCTGTATTTATTTTTTGCCTGCATCTTTGAAATTACGGCGAGATTGTAATTGACTGCTAAATAGCTGCTAATGGTTACATATTTCAGTGGGAGAACCAATCACAGTACCCAAGATCGAAGACCCCAGTCAGGAAGTGCTTGATCAGTACCACGCCATGTATATAACCTCACTCAGAAAACTCTTTGACAAGCACAAGGTCCGGTTTGGGCTGAAGGAGAGCGACATCCTGTACATCCAGTGACTGCCCCGGAGCCCATAGACTATGTTCTTTCGAATGGTCTTTGGTGATCGCTGGTCCTTCGCTCTTGAACTATTCCAACTAGACAGCATGTCACGCCAAAAGGCCACATTCAGGTAGTATTTATGACAGGGAGCTGCCCTGGAATTCTCTGAATGCATCTCATGTTTATTTCTTCGTTAGTAAATGTTGTTGTTTTTTCCCCTTTCTGTCATCCAACCAACAACGTTTAAATTTTCTTAGCAAAAATTTTGGCCCCCTAGCCATAAACTACGGCACATGCTATAGATCAGGTCTGCCACAAGGGGCCGCCATATAACTAAAGCATGGTTTCACATGATCTAGTCATCCAATGAAGTTGCAGTTTTTGAGGCTTAGGATTGTCAAGTAAAGTGTTCTGTGCGTTCTGGGGGTATAATATTAAGGTCTTTATTTCAAAAGAGGCACAAAAATAGTGGACCCTTGTTCTCCTGATGTCCTTTGAGCTGTTATCTGCTACATTGTTTTCCCTGTCATATAGTTTCGTACAGTTCAGACCACCAGGCATCTTTGCAGAACACTATTCTGTGTGTGAGAGATGGGGGATGGAGACTTACCTTGTCCAAAGGCCATTAAATGTTAGGCTAATGTTCTGTTTGACTCATGGGATTTGTGTTATATGCACAAACAATGCAATTTAAAATATTTCCTCATGAAATATAGCGGTCTTAGCGTCTGTCAAACCAAGCATACTGGGGCTGGGTTCTTTTTGACTAAATGAAAGCAAAAGACCTACACTGTTTAATATTTCTCTCTAATTACTAGTCCTTGGTGCACCTCTAATGTTCTCGGATCTCCAGTGAGGGTCTCTGGTGTAATTCTGTTTAAAATGAAGTGAAGCGTAATTGGGCAGAATTTAACAGGCTGTGGTGTAACTTAAGACATAGACAGTGGAATTTGATGTGATACTATGATGTAATACTGTGAAAGAATCAAGTAATCTGAACGTACAGCAGTTTTCTTGCACTTTCTTGGTTCTTGGCACTCTTTGCACTCTCTCCATTGGAAATTCACCTATTTACAAAGACACAATTTTAAAACTGTTGAGCCCATTTTTTCTGTTTAATTGGCTTCATTTCAGTTTCAAATTTCTTTGTGTTGTTAACTTAACACTGATCATTAAGAGAAGTGAAGTTTGGTTTGACCCCATTTAAATTGTTTTATTTCATCCAATGAATATCTTTCCATAATTTTCATTGGTCTGGATAAAGGTGATCAGTCAGATTTTGGGAATTGTGATGTGCCTATGGTCTTGTGAAGGTAGGGAAGAGATTTCAGACTGAAACATTAAGTAGGGCCAGAGGGACACTCACATGCGGCATACTGTAACAGGTTCTGAAACCAGCTCAAAAATGGACCCCCTTAAGGGTGCCGGCCCAGACCCTCTAGCCCTTCAACGATGGAGTTCAACGAACTGTAAATGGAACACTTCTTGAATGAATCTCTGTTGTATTCTACATGTTTTGACTGTGTTGTAAGCTCTCAGGATGATATGAAATGAAAATCAGTGATTGTATAATAAGAACGTCATTTGGATTGCCTATCTGCTGGGTTCATCACTGTGACTTGCTGCAGAGTGGAGTGTTTCACACTCTCTAATTTTAAGTGCAATATATATATACAGCAATGATAATATACTTTTAATGGTATGTATGCTTTTTACTGGCTGCTTAAATTGTCATTATTTTATATGTGTTTTTGAATAAATACCTTTATGAATCTCCTGTTTGTCTTTTTTTTGGGGGGGGAGCACATTGTCATCTGAATTCAAATTCTGCTTTACAGGATCTTCAAATTAATCTAGACCAACTAATTAGTTGCCTTGCTGAAAGGCTATGTTACATTTTACAGACATGACACATTTTTAATACATAGGGATACTCCGTTATTCCTTTAATGACGTGGCTTTGAGAAAATAACTCAGTCCGGTGATTTGCACATCCATCATTTTAATCTCTAAAACATTAAAAGTAAATAAACCAAGAGCCTCTGTTGCTAAACAGGGAGGAGATGGTAGAGCTGTCAAAAGGGATACGGCATACCGGTGCGCTTGGAAAGAGCCGATTGTGGACTGCTACTAGCAGCGAAACTTCCCTGGACTCCAGTGCATTCGGACGAAAACGACATAACAGGAGTTGTTTTTTTTGTGCAGCTCCCCGTTATCCTTAAGCAGATGTGAAGGACAGCTATTGGCCAAATATACACATGGACGGGTGCGACTAATGACAGCACATCCTTTTGCCGTTTCAGATAGGAGCAGCAGCTTCTCCAGCGATTAAATCAGTTTATTTGGTAGCTTAATTAGATCGAGAACAAAATACGTACATACAGTATACATAAACAGCAATTTTCAACCGTATAGGTCTACACGTTTTATAGAATATGCACGAGGATATTGTTACACAACATACAGATGTACCAATAAAACGATGCTGATCGCAACAAATTTCTGTCGTCAAAATATATTTCTGCTATTCTGCAGTAAGGTGTAATACCTATACACAAGCATTTCGCTTAAAAAGACTACTAACCATTTATGTAGAATGACAACTTCCCCCAGGACCGTGATATCAAACTACAGTTACCAGCGGGTCATGTTACCCGCAAATTTAACCCCCAACTTCCTAATAATGGAAGGGAAACATGACAGGAGCTACTTCCTGTTGTGTACATATCCCCGCCCCTTACAGGGTGATTGGCGGAATTCTAGCCAATGATTTTGAAATATGCACCGTCCATTAAGGCTTTTAAAAGATTGACAAGAGTCTGAGCCAATCAGAGATCTACCGGGGATTGAGTATGAAATACGGATAATGGCCTCCTGAGCAAGTCTCACTTTGTTTATGTCGCGCTACGGACAGCTGCGTGATCATCTGTTTTATGAAGCGGATACCCACGCCGGCACGCATTGTTCTCGTTTTAATAGCTCTCCCACTTAGTCCGTACTAAGTTGAGGCGGTTTCACGGGAAGGATGAGTCGTTTTGTTGAATGAAACCGCCTGCTGCCGTCAGGAGGATGAGTGCCGTCAACGTCCTGGACATCGCGGTCTCCACTTCGGTCAGCAACTCCGGAGCTGCATCGTCCCGGGCCTTGCACGTTGAACTCACGTCGCAGCAGGTTAGGGGATAAAGGGGAGAGCAATCGGCATATGCATAAGGGGTATTATCTCAGGGAAACATGGCATGTAGATGCGGTGACAGCTCTGCAGCCGCACATGTCAGGGCAGCACAGACGACGGGCCTGCGTTTGCGGTGTTGATCAGCACCATGGATTGTGTCAGAGACCGAGCTGTGTCCTCTGTTTGATTGCATGAACATAAATAACCTGGAGGCTATATGGACATGCGCCTGATGATTGCAGTCAGCACCTAATCAGCCTGTTTGGTGCTGGCATGTACTAAGTTAGCCTGTCTTGGGTTTTCCGGTTCAGCACAAGTTTTTAAATTATGTAGGAAATTGCATTCGTAGAAGTCTTTATAATTATTTGAATTATAATGAGATGTAAGTCAACACCAGTGCTTCAATAGCATTAAGAAAGTTTCACGCTTGCATTGCCCTGACGAATAAAAGTTGGAGGTTAACCAAGAAGAAGAATCAGTTTTTTAGGTCCAATAGCTGCAATATTCATTATTTACTTTTTAAGTGGTGGTCAGTAAAATGTTAGTAATTTGTATAAAGGCACATTATGAACTGTACTGTACAAGTGGTCACTTAAACATTCCAGTAGATGCTGCTTTTCTGCATTAGTATTGTACTACATGGTTTCCAGTTTTGGACATTGATTGATTTTGTACGTTTGGCATGCAACTCTCTCCATCTGCTTAAATCAGCAGCAGCGCGCAGGATTAATAGCAGGGGTTATGCAGCCAAAGGCTGAAAAGTGTTTTAATTAGTTATTTTTTTTTAACCGTGTATCTTGTGGAACAGAATGTGCTGTTTTTCATTAACTTTTCAGGAGGAAGTTGACAGGAAACATGGACTTTCAATGCTACTTCTGTTCATTTCCCCCCGAAAGTCTTTTAAAGCCACGCTGACGTCACCCCTCCCCAGTTAGCGGCGGTTTCCATTAAATCGACGTTACTACGGCTATTTTTTCACTGTCGGTTTTTGAGACTTCTGTGCACCATTAACTGATGTCCAGGACTGTTCTCTGATTGACGACTGGAAGCCATGACTCCTTGCAATGATAAACTGCTGTTTCCTGCGGTTAGTTATATCCACAGCTTACCTGTTAGTTGGACTTGCACTTTCAGAATCGGACCTTTCCTGAATGGCTGTTCGTTGGTTTAATAATGCTGACTTGTCAGATACTGGATTTGGCAGTCACGCATAGAATAATTTCGGTTTACTGCAAAACTGGGTGTAACCTCATATCTCAGTCTCTAACGGTTTTCGTAACAACTAGTACAATATTAATTTAGCGTTTTAATATGGAAGATTGAGAACCAAATAAATTGTTTAGTTTGTAGATGGTAGCGTCTTATTTAGACTGTTTTAATGCTTATTTGGAACACTTCTGTTGGAGCTGCTTATCCCAAATGCATGCTGATCTTTATGACGCTAAGTACTGTGCTTGAATTTGCCGTTTTCTTGTTTAGTGATCAGACTGTTCGGGACAGAGACGCTCACATTTCTGACTTGCTGGATGTTCATTTTGTAGAACAAAGTGCTGTTTTGTGCGGAGCTTAAATACCACAGGGGACCCCATGACTTAGATTTATCTTAATGCCTGCTGTAATTCTTGCAGTCCCAGGTCAGGTGAGCATGCGGTGGCATGGAGAGAGCCCTTTCACAGGCACTGCCTTAGAAATGCCAAACTCATTCCTGTCACATGACTCCAGGTCATGTGACTGCTGTAGAAGGCAGCTCCATATATATTCATTTTTAAAAAAACAGCCCTTATTATGATGCATTTTTTGATCCTTGAAAATTTCTGTAGTGAATGAAATTGAATATTATTGAGAGGAGATTTAGACCTTTCGTTATATATGTCCTACAATGTCCATTAGGAGTTACTGCCGTAACCTGTGTCACTGTGTCTTATCGCTGTCACCAATGACACGCTGTCTCGCCCCCCCAGAGACGCCTACGCCACCTAAGGAGCATCGCCGCCCGTAACATCGTCAACAAGAACGGCTCTCCGCTGCTTGACACCTTCTTCACCTTGCATCTCTGCCAAGAGGACAGAATATCCCGAGGTGAGGACACATTCGCACCCAACAGCTGTCATGGCTGCCTGGTTCTTTTTTTAGGGTCTCATGTACCGTATGAAACAGGAAGGAAATGCGAATTTGGCCTCTGTCTCAGAAAAGCATGTTAAAACCATAGCTGTGTTTTAATTGGAGAGGCGCAGTATAAGGCATGCAGTTTTTAAACTGCAGCAGTGTATCCTGATCGAAACGGATTGTAATGGAAATGCTGAAAAGTCCTCTGACTTCATCTTCCTTTCTCCCCCCCCCCAGGATTTTACAAGAGTGAGGTCATTAGGGACTCCTTGGTAAGTCTTAGCTCATGAAAATGAAAGTGCGTGTGTGTGTACGCGCACGGCTGCGCCAAAGTGGGTGTGGGGTCTTGGTGATGTGCCAGTTTCCTGTCTGAAAGCAGAGATGGAGTGACCATTACGAAGAAGTAGGGGCCTGTGTCTCTTTCCTCCTCTCCATGGGTGGCCCAGGTACCTGAGACTCAGAGTATTTGGGCTTCTGGTCTGAGTGAGAGGGACAGGTGCGGCATTTAAAGTGACCGCCACCTGGGAGGATGACATGATGGTGGCACACAGTCCCACAGTCACAGATGGTGCCCCGGGCATGGGGGTAAACTCCAGTTTTCTGTGACATCATTGTCAGGTGGGCTAGCAGCTCGGCAACAGTTGCCAGGCCCGGTGCCTCTCCCTGCTGCCCTTGCAGCACCTGTTTTGTATGTGGCCCTCTGATTGGTTGGCTTTGCCAACAGTGACATTCTGAAGATGCTCTGTTTGGTTAGCCCAGGGTGGCAGTGACTAATATGCTATTGTCACGTGACTGTGGTCATCAGTCTGGGTTGGGATTTGGTCACATGGGTCATGTGTGACAACCAATGGCATGCTTGCATTACTAGGGGCAAAGGAAAACAAATCAGACCTGCCCCTTCTGCTTCATAAGCAATCCATAGGCTGTGGTTTATCCCATTTGGTTAATATGATGAACATTAAAATTAGCCAAGGTGTCTATATTTATAAATCTGAAATGTAACTGATGCCGGTTTGATGTGAGTACAATATGTATGTTTCCTGCACTTCTTGGCATATTTGTAATTGTATTGCGTGCTGGTCGATTTGTAAAACAAATAAACTTACAGTGACGTGATTATGTGCATGTGTGGCTGTAGCCTCCATGATAGGCTCTGGACCCCTGTGACCATGAGTAACACAAGTGGTTATAGAAAATGGATGGCTGGATGGAATGCGTATATGTGTGTATGAGAGCATATATAATATATAAAATATAGGTTCCCTGCGGCCCACTGTGGACCGGCTGCAAGTTTATGCTGAGCCGGCCAGTATTAAGTCTGCAGGCAGTCAGTGCGCTGGAGAGCAGCACTCTATATGTCCCTAGTTGGTCTCCGTCTTTATGCCAGGGCAGACATTTCAGCTGGAGAGGCTTCTTATGCTACAAGACAGGAAGGTGAACAAGGTCACATGACATGGGTTTGTGAGGCACTAATGCTGGAGATGGGTTTCATTAAAAGTCTTGCTGTTTGCCCTGCAGCAGGAGGAAATCCTGTCTGTTGTCGGGTGCTGGGAAGGGGCTACAGGGATTGGGGCCTCAGATTTTAGGGTATGTTCTGTTTGGTGATTGGGAGAGATGGCATGGTCGTTCAATGGGCTGAGCTTTGACATCATACATTCAGGGTTGTGGGTTAGAAACTCATCCTTGTGGATGTTTGGCTTGTGTTTGCCTGGCTCTGCTCCTACAGTTAAGCTAAAAGCATATAGGAGAAATATTGTCTGTAAGTGGCCATTTTGTGTGATCCAGGGTATATCCCAGCCTTGGAGCCTGAGCTTCCTTAGATTGGATCCAGGCTCTCAGGAATCCCTGTATTATGGCTGTAGGAAAGGGATGGATGAATGGATGGATGGATTTGATTGATTGTTGGATTGTACCTGGACAGATGTAAAGTGAATGAATGTACTAGTCACCTGTTTTCAGCCCTCCCCTGAAGGTCCTTGCTGGCTATTGTATTCGGTATGGTATTTTTGGTATATTATTTTTTGGTATATTTAGTATATTATGGACTGGGAAGAATCTTGCAATGTACTGACATGCCGTACCCATGGCAACATGGTCAGCCTGTGTCTTTGAAAAGTCTTTTATGTAATGGAATTGAATGCAGTGCAAGCTAGAGGGCTGCCTTTTCTGACTTGTTTGTAAGTGCATTTATGTGCATTTTTATGTGAGACTTTGATCGGCTTAGAAACTGGAGCATTATAGGTATTGTAGAATTAAAGTAGTATATCTATTGTGTGGTCAGAATATTGTGGCATGATCTTTAGGTCCTGTTACACTCTCCAAGCCCTAAAGGAAGTTGGTAAATCGTCCCAGTGAAGATTGCATGGGTTTGTTTGTGTGTCGTTGCCCCTAAATAAAAATTTAATCCTCCACAGGAGCAACCCTGTGTCCTACCAACTGTTTTTTATTTTTAATGCTCTGGCCAGTTTCGTTTTATGGTTGCGGACACCTGGAGAACCGATGCGTGGCGAGAGCGCCCCCTGTGGTCCTGGATGCGTCCTCTCGCCGGGGAAGGACAGTTAGGTGCTGTGCATCTACCTTCCTGTTTGCAGTTCACCAGGGGACTCTGGAGTGGGCATGGCGCTGGTTTATGAATGTACTGGCTCGGTGACATTCTCACCCCCCGTGAACTTCCTGTCAGGCAGTTTCCTGTCACACAGCTGACCTCCTCTCCTAGATGCTCTGTCGTTACTCATCACAGCTCATGCTGCAGTTTAGCCTGAGTCCGCAGTGCCCCTACCATTGCGGCCTCCAGTCACCCCGACCACCGTGCCCCCTTCCTGGGCCAGGCTGGTGCTGGTCTCGCGCCTTTTATTCAGTGTGCACGGTGTGGTGTTTTACGTTACACAAATTATTAAAATACGTTACATATCACTGCAGCCATTTCCCCTTGGGGATTAATTAGGCCTGTCTTTGTATCTGTTAATCTGTCTATTGGTCTGTCTGTGCCTATTTATCTATCTATCCATCTGTCTGTTTAAATGCTTTGTTTTCTTACCTTTTAGGAATTGTATGAAGAAATGAGTGTTATTTGTAATTATCTGATAGTTAGACCCCTAACGGAAGCAGGAGCAGCAACACACACACTCAGCCTTGTACGTTGTTACGTTGCATTTTGAGCCGTTGCGTTTTGGGGCGTCGTGTTTCGGGGCAGACGCAGCTGGGTCACGTGACACGCTGTGCAGGGTGTCTTACTAGTGAGTTCACCTTTTGTGGGAAGTTCCCTAAGATCTCATCTTCTGAATTTCCCTCGTTCTCTTTCGAAAGGTGCGCTTCCCTTCCCCACACACTGGGAGTCTGTTTCTGCCATTTTTGTTCTGTTGGGTAAATGGGACGAGTCTGTCAGCCATACAGTAGGTATCACTCAAGGTGGGGATGGGTGTGACACACCCCACTCACTCAATATTCACAACAGTGGTGTTCGTCCCACCCAGGATTTATCTTTTAAAATTATGAATAAATATGTTGGGAGAATTTGGTTCTCCTTTAACCTACTAGCTGAGGGGAATCACTAATGATTTCAGTTGCTTGCATATAAATGTCTATGGCATTTGTGTCTCTGAAAACATTATCTAATGTGTAAATTTGAGCTGTGGATTTTGAATGTGGTTGACTGCTCTACGAAGCCATCTTCCCTGCCTTTGGTTATGGGGCAAGTTCCTTCATATTACTAACTCTAACCTGATCCTAACCTTTATGATTAGCACAGATGGTGGGAGTTAGCATGGTGTATATAATTATCTGTGTTCTGTAGTAGGCACAGTAGTAGTGATGGCCAAATGAAGCCGTATTTTCTGACCCCCAATTGATGGTGCTCTCTGTTAAAAAAAATGGGCTCAAAGCATGCCCCAAAGCAAACCAATACCGCCATCTAGTGGAGTCTGAAATACAGCAAATGGTTTATGAAGCTTCATACACAGCACCACTCAGTATATATCCAAAGCGTATGGAAAGTATTAAATGACTCCATCCATCCATCCATCTATCAGTCCATTCAGCCAGCCAACCATCTTCTGTATTTATCATTTTCCTGGCTGTTTAACTGAGGTGTTTAATAAAGTCAATAGTCTCAAACATCTTATTTTGATTGTTTTGACTGTATCAATTTCTAATTATTTATCACGTTTTAACGTTCTTAATAGTTCTGTTTCACTGTCCATTTGCTCAATATGAATGTAACCCTGGTTGCTGGTATGGCTTTAAAAGCCAACATAACTAACTGATCGACTAATTCCATCCAGCCATCTTCTAACTGCTTGTCCCCCTGGTTGTGGGGGGGTCTGGAGCCTATCCCAGGTAGCACAGGGCACAAGGCGGGGGGGGGGGTTCAGGGTGGATGGGATGGCAGATCTAAGTATATAATGCTTATGTCAATTAAAATTCCACCTGTAGCTGCTTTTCCTGGTGCTTCTAAGAAAGGTAGCTAACATGCTTGACTTGTAGATTAATGCACCATAGTTGTAGCACTTCCAGTGGTCAGCACACAGTCTTAGCTGAATGGCCCCTCCACATATAAATAATGGGGGGGGGGGGGGGGAAATGCACTCAAGCACTTGAGCAAGCTCCCATATCAGCTTATGCAGCATAATAGGATTGTACATTTAGCATGTAAACAGCCTAGATTGGAGCTAAAGTACATCAATTTTACATTGTGCAGACCAGATTCCCACACATTGTGATGCAAACCTGTAACTCTTTACCTTGTGGTGGGCACAAATATCTTATAATTTGAGACTGCAATCAAAAAACTAAAAATGCCAAAAGTCTCGTATTTTGTTTGATTATTTATTGTTAAGGGTAGGGCTACCATAGTTGAGATTAAGATTATGTCCATAGAATGAATGGCGAGTCCCCATAAAGATGTGAGTGTGTGTGTGTGTGTGTGTGTGTGTGTGTGTGTGTGTGTGTGTGTGTCTGAAAACTGAGTCTGAAATCAGAAGCAGTAGTAAGAGTTGAATGAATTTAAATTGCTAAAACCTAAATGATAACAGGTACTGGAATTTACCAAATTTACCTTGATAACCATTGTGAGGATATCATTTAATATTATGTTGATATCAAACTGAAGTTGAATTCTGGAGCATGGAAATATAATTTGACATTATTAATTAAAAATTTGGTTATGCCCCCTCCTTGGCTGCTCCCAGAACCCCACATGGAGAAGCCTGGACTTCGGCATGCTTCCCGACCTCCTGGACACGTCTGTGTCCTGCTTCGTGGTCCGGATCTGGGGCGGCCGGGAAGAGCAGTACCAGCTGCTCATCGAGTGGAAGGTGAACCTGGACGGGCTCCGGTACACGGGCCAGCAGGTCAGGCTCTCCCCCCCTCCTGTACCTCGTCTCCTCGTCCCCGGTATGTCCACATCCCAACATCAACACTGACCCTCTCTGCGTTCCCCAGATCCGGTCCAGGAATCCAAATGAGATTATCTTTGGATTAAACGATGGCTACTATGCAGCTGACTTTGACAATAAGGTGCATTTCTCTGCTGTTTTCATTCCATACTTCAATATCTGCTCAAGTGTCCTTCACATCTGACTGATATACATTCGTACTTCCTAGGATCATTCGGAAAGAAAGAAGAGCAGTTTGCTTCAGGTGGACCAGAGTTCAGTGCGTAACTCTTACAGTGTTTTTTCCTTGCTGAGGTAAGACGCCATCTTGCCTGTTTTTTTGTCTTAATCCCAACACAATGCCCACCCATTACTTTACAGCGTGATTCCTCAAAATTTCCCATTGTCTTATTTTGCAGTACTCTTTGTTTAAGGAACAGACGGATGTTAAAAGGCATTTTACCCCAATTCACACATGTTCTCAGAGCACGAATGCTTTGAAAGCTCAGGGATCCTGCAGATTTTCCATTCAGATTTTGTTCCCTAGAATATCCACTAGGTGGCGCTTGGACCAAGTTTTTGACTTAGTTCTAAGATGGAGTTCTTTTTATGTAGAATTACTCTCGCATGTAACATATATATTAGGATTTGCATAAGTGTGCACCCGGAACCAAAAATGGCCGTTCATATTAGACATTCAGGCATTCATCGTGGTAAAAGTTCTGGGTGTGTTAAATGAACTGCTGACTTGAATAGTGTCTGCAGTATTTGAATGGGAGTATCCCATTTTAATTTTAGTCATTTTTGACCTTTTCTTATTCATCAAAGGGAAATAATGTTTAATAGAAAACTGTCTCTTTGTTTTTCCAAATAGTTTTCCCAGATATTTCAGCAGTTATTTTGGGTTAGGTTTTGTTTTTCAAGTCTAAGAATGGGATTGATGTGGTCTGTTAATGGCACCATATTTCAACTCTGTCAGCACCTGTCACGTGCCCCTGAACGCTTCGAATGTGCGGTCAATCTTAAAGCAACGTTTTTATTGTGGAATTGGCATTAAAAGGAGAGATTTATTGCTGTAATAAAATTATCTGTCTGTTTGGCACTTGGTTTTTCTCAAAGGGAACATTTTTTAAAATTTGGTGGCAGTAAGAAACAGAGTTTAGCATTCATTTTAGATCTTGGCTGTCCAACACTTTGGACAGTTTTAGTAACTGGTTACTAATCAGCAACCTCAATGCAAAAAAAAAAAAAAAAAAAGAGTTGTGTAGCTCCTGCCACCATTGGAATGAGTGGCCACCAGGGGGAGACAATTTACCACGTTTTGAACAGATTTAGCATTCACTACTTGTGGAGTGCTTTACACTGCACACTCTTTGTAATCGAAGTTCCATTGATATCAAAATCCAATTCATAAGGATTATTTCCAGTTCCAAACAAGCTTTTCCTATGTCACAGAATGGCAAAGATTTAAAGAAGCTGAACTTGTTGATGTTGTCATGCGGAGCCTGTTAACCGGCTTGTTTGATAGGAGTCCGGTTTAGGTGTGGTGCCTTGGAGGGTGAGAGGAGTCATGCTTAATGTCAGCCCTCCGACTCTACCCGAGCTGGGGGCAGTCACGTTCCACCCGTCTGTACAGGAAGACGTGGGGCCTGCCTGTTGTTGAGGGATTTCCCATTGGCGTGGACGGTGTTGGGCTCCCCCCCCCCCTCGTGACATGAGGTGAACGCTTGGATTTCAGGCCAGCTCTGAGGAAACCCCTGCTGCTGCTGCTGTAACACCCAGGGCAAACTGACTGTGCCTGCGTGTCAAGGTGACCGACTGTGTTTTTCGTGAGGCCTTTCCGTTTCCCTGGGCATCTGGGGCCTGCACAATATCTCAGCTCCAGACTATGATTTGTAATTTTCAGCCCTGGGCAGGACCACAAACACAAGCCCCCCCCCCCCCCCCGGCATGATCCAGGATTCCTTTCTGCAGACTTGGAGAAAGCATTCAGATTGGCTGACTCCTGGAATACTCATGCTGAGAGTTTTACAGTAGTGCCGGGATGCGCACAGACGTACGGGAGGTCAGCTGTCTTGGAACAGCGTGTCTTCGACATTTCCGATTCTAGTAATCCTTATTCTGAGTGCAGTTACCTCGTCTTGCTGGATGCGACGCATTGATGCCAGCTTCGCGGTTCGGGAGACTGCAGAGGTCCCGCCGGTTAGCGCTTTGTTTGGCTCGGTCAGCTTCGAACACTCAGTCTCGCAAGCTTTGTCGTCGAGCTGCATCTCTCAGGGAGTCGGCTCGCCAAAGCTTCAGGCAACGCCACGCCGGTTCCTGAAGGGGGCGACAGGGAGTGTTCAGGCCGGGGATGGACCCTCCCGGAGGGTGTGGGGGGGGGGGGGGGGTCTCAGAAATTTCATTACTCACTGCAATGTAAGCGGAGCTGACACAGCGCTGACGGAGAGGCGGCGAGGCCGGGAGGCGCCCGAGGGTTTGAGTTATTGCGATGTAGAGAGGTATGTGGGCCGCGCGAGGTCTGCTACTGAACCCGATTATGGGGGGGTCACACGGGAAGCGGCCCTGTTTACGTTCTGCTTATTATGTCCTCCAGTTTGACTGTCCTCGGTCTGACGCTGGAACGCTCGAATGGGGCCCTCGAGGCCTCAGTTGTGGTGTGTTTGTTGTCTTTGCCAGTGCTGTCGTTGGTTTTTGTCGCCGTCCTTGTGGTCGTCGTCAGACGCGGCTTCTGGGGCAGCGTGACGAGCGGCATTGTAGCGCGATGCTGTAGGAGTATATTGCTGGGCTTTTGAGGTGAGCGGGGGCTGGCTTTTGAAACCGCTGGTAATGGTCGTCGTCGGTCATTGGAATTGGCAGTAGATCAGCGCTTTGTGGGAACACAGAGTGGCTCTTTCCGAGGAAACGGCCGACAGATGAGCCCGACCGTGGGACCTTTCGTGAAGGAAAATGGCCGAGGCCCTTTGGGGAGTACGGGACCAGACTTCGGGAGGGATCAGTGACGGGTCACATGCTCTGGGTGCCGCTCCGATAAAGATGGGAGGCTCGTTAATGGATTTGCAAGAGAAAGAGTCTGTCCGTTAGACGCAGCTGGGAATCTGCTTTCGCAAAGCTAATTAATCGTCCTGGTTCACGATTCACTGGTAACTCATAAGTGCAACAGCAACCGGCCCAATTGGGCCTTCGACGCCTCTGAAGACCCTACCAGATCCATACCCAAGGAGCTACTTATTTCCTTATTTTCACTCGGCAGTGGTATTTTCCGTGATTTCGGGTTCTCATTTATGGATTTTTCTGGACTGCTGCCAGACCTTTAAGTCAGCCACGATGACGAGCGGTGTCAAAGATAATCAAAAAGACCCTTAAAATTTTCAGCCCCCCTGGGGAAAAAAAATGTGTGCAATTTGTATTACGAGAGAGAGACATGTTCAGGGCTTTTCCTCACAAACTGCCAAAGTGCACTAGGGAGGCCCGCAGTCCTGCACGTTGAATGCAGAGCCCCCAGAATTTATGGCATTGCTGTAATTAGGACACGGTGGCCTGACCACGGCACCATATTACGTTAAAGACTTTTAATTAGTCTCTTTCAATCATTCCTCCATGGCACCTGGAAACCAGGCGGTTGCAAAGGCAGTAACTTTTCGTCGCTTATGAAAATAAAAGTATGCTTTATAGCTGAAGGATCAGGGTATGGGGAGACGCGTGTTGTAAATTTTTTGATTAATGAGGTCTGGGCATTAGCTATGGAGTCGGACCTGGTGGTTCCTTCATCTGCATTATAAATAGTTGCACTCTCCCCACTGTCTGAAACGCTGCGTTTTTTTGTGCTGATATAGGTAACCCCCTCGATTTTAAGGATAGGTCTTCTGTTTTATTATTTTTTTTTCTACCTTTTATTTTTTTCCCCCCTATCTTCTGTGAGACTGTTGTTTCAGCAGCATGAGAGAAAACAAAACCTGTCGCCCCTCCACGTGAGGATGCGGGGCTTGGGGGGAGGGGTCACCGTGGAGGAGGCCCAACCTCAACCGCAGTGGATGTGATAAGCACTTCCTCCGCCTCACTAAGCCCGGCTGCGTTCCTAGGCACTGTGCCGAACCTTGTTCTGGACTCTAGTGTGACCCGACAACCTACATTGAAACAATTGTCATGGTGACCTAGGCAGGGCTTAGAGGAGTTTATTGCCAGTGTTTACTTCCCATGCACCTCTGAAGGAGAGTTTTGACGCCTCTGAGGAGGTGGCCTCTCCACACTCGTTCTTCTCCGCTCTTTGCCGTCTCTAGGTTTTCCCCCGTCCCTTCTGCATATTTAAACCATCCCCTCAGCTGTTCATCCCATAGTCCATCTCCTAGATGCCCTAATGGGGCAGTTGATTCTCTCCTCATCCTTTCTGTTGTCTATCTGCCCATCATCTTTTACCTGCTTATCCAGGTCAGGATTATGGGTATTTTCCATTGTGTCCATCCATCCCTTCATTTTCTCTAACTGCGTGTCCTATTGAGGGTCGTGGGGGGGGGGGGTCTGGAGCCTATCCCGGAGGCTATGGATGTAAGGCAGGGAACAACCCAGGATGGGGGGGGGCAACCCATCGCAGGACATACTCATACACCAGTCACTCACACATGCACACCTATGGACAATTTGGTAACTCCAGTTCACCTCAGCATGTTTTTGAACTGTTGGGGGAAGCCACAGTTCCTGGGGGAAGCCCCACGATGACATCGGGGGAACATGCATACTCAACACACGTGATACCCTGGTGGAGACTCGAACCCAAATCCCTGTGATGTGAGGCGACAGTATACGCATTGTGCCCCCCGCCAGAAAATATCTCCTAAGATGTTTTGATTTTTTTTTGTCAGTTTATGATTTTTTTCAGGGCAAATACTTTCAGTCATAAAATATTTATCATGGAACATTCTGACTGTTTCTCTGCAGATGGGGAGTCATGTTTGGCCTCTTTCCCAGTGTCTTCCTGAGTTATATTTTATTTTCTAGGTATTCTTCCATATAATTCCTGCTTGGTCAACCAGTTTGTCTGCAGGAGTAGCAGCAGGTAGAGAAGGTTGGCTGCAGTAGCCAAGAACTCGGTCATTGTATTTTAATTGGTTGGGCACCGGTCTTATCAGTGTCGTAATTTCAGCCACAGGGGGTGTTGACATTCTCTTGAGAGGAACTGGGATGTTTAGCTAATGGCCGATGTTTGTTTTCCTCCGTATCAGTAGTTTTCTGTTTTAGAGTCAGGGTGACTAAATAGAGATTTTTAGTGTGTGTTTTGACTGGGTCATGTAGCAGCTATTCTGCCTATTGAATTAACC